TTGTCAAATGACTCAAGCAATGATGATAGGATTTAAATATATTTTAGGGTTGGCACATAATAAAATTTTTTTTGAATGTATATATTAGATTAATGTAGAAGATGCACATTAAAATCACTGAGTTAAACATATCTAGGGGAGGTCAATTGTTGGCAAGTCCAGAAAACTTATAAATTATGATAAACAATAAAAATATTATTGTCAAATGACTTAAGCAATGACGGTAGGGTTCAAATAGAATTTAGAGTGGCACATAATAAAATTTTTTTGGAATGTATATATTAGATTAATGTGAAAGATACACATTAAATTTACTCTAAAATGAATTAATTTTGAAATATATAAAAGTTCTGGTACTCTACGAGCACCTAATTGTAAATAAATAAAAAAAATGACGGCATCCTGTTAACTCTTGTTGACGTGGAGGGTACGTAGGTTGTGCATGTGGTGATTGTCTCTATTGGAGGCGAGCAGCAGCCTCAAAATTGTCTTGACGCAAGGCGAGGAAGGGAAGATTGCATTAAGTTTGTCTTTAACAACATTACCTCCAAGAGGTGTCTCAAATATTATATGTGGATGTACTTACTAGATTAATATATGCTACACTCATATACGTTAATTAATTAACCATTTTAATTTCTTATTTCTTCGAGATATATCCATTTGCGCTGGGTGTCCATCCGCCTAGTGTTGAGAAAACTCTCATGATCTACAGCACGCTTACATTTTTAATGTTAGTAAAGGGTATGTACTGAACCGAAGTCATAACCAGCAGCTTGGAAAGCCCGCCTTTGGCCGCCATTAGTTTAAGAACACAATGTTAAATCCAAAGATTCCAAACTTTCAACGAGTCCTACTCAAAATTGCAACACATTTGAAGCATCAATTGTGGTGCTCTTAAAAAAATACTTAAGAAAATGATTAGTAGATATTTAGTTCAATACATTCTTTGATATTTGTCTAATTTTGCTGTTAAAATATAATACATGTACTGTCTGATTCAACTAGTTACTGTATTATGTATATAAGATCATATTTTTAAATTTTTTTATTTTTAATTTTATATTAAAAATAAAATTTTTTAATAAATATATTATCTAATATATTAAATTAAAAAGTATACCACTGAATGTGTAAATACTTTGTCTTCACCGAAAGCAATATATTTTCTTTTTGCAATGGCTCTCACGGTCCCAAAGCAACTGAACATGTTTTAAGAGAAATGCAGCACTCAGGCCTTTGCTGGCCTAAGTGTACTAATTTTATTTTAATAATAAGAATGAAAAATAAGCTAATAAAAAAATTTAAGTGCTTATGGGTAGCGGACTCACACTGAGCGGACATGGCACTCATCTATGTTTAATTATGTATATCAAGGTCAGTTGCCCACTTGTACTCTTAAAAAATGCAAAGTCTAGAGATGCTTCACCGAAAGCAATATTTTCCTTTCACAGAGTGTTACGGCACGCGAGCTCGGGGGTCAAAGTCGAGGGCATCGTGGCACAGAGCTGCAGCCACAGGCACACAGGAGGTGTGTGCAGCGTCCAAGGGACATGCCAAGCAGCGTGGCGGAGCGCGAGCACGATCATGGGCACCAGCGGAAGCGCAAGCAGAAGCATGGACGCGGGCATGCTGGATGAGGGTGTCGGTGTCCCGACACGGGGTTGCGATTATGACACTTACTTATACGACACCAGAGTGAGTGAGCTGCTAGGTGAGTGAGTGCATAGAGGGGCTGTGTACTCATGCTCTTGTACACTTCCTTGCGATCTTAATAAATTCTCTTCTTCTCCCAACTTCCTACCTTCGGGTTTACGTGTTGCTAACCTCGAGCCCAGTTAGAGGGCCACGCCAAGTGTTGGGGAAGGTTGACTTGGTTCGGATTGACGGGGTTAATTCCGAACTAAGTGCCGCACGAGGTTGAGCTAGATTCCGCCTCCGAGACAAGTGTCATCGGAGCTAGTCTCACCCCGTGACAAGGTGGTATCAGAACAAGGTTCGAAGCTGCATCGAGCATGGTTCGAAGTTGCACCAAAGCGCGATTCGAAGCCTACTGTAGACATGGTTCGAGCCTGGTGGGAGCCTAGTTACGAGCGGGAAACGTAACCATGGCGAGCAAAGGCATGGAGGCAAGCGACGTTCTCGAGGAGGAACGAGGTCGACGGGAGACGCGTGGGGACGCGAGACGAAAGAGAAGGTTGAGGGCGGTGTCACCAGCGTCACAGGATGTCATAACAGCCTTTGAGGGAAGGCTGGCCAAGAGGGGCTTGGCTACGGGGGACGTCCACGAGCAACTCGACACTCTTGACTTCGAGGAGGATGGGGGTGGCACAGTCGAGTCACTTGAAGGTAAGCTTCAAGGTGCCTTTAACTCGTTCATAGCTAACATGAGTAGGGCTGTGGAAGAGCTTCAAGGGTGCTTTGCGAGCACGGGTGGCGAGACAAGCCACACAGAACCTCCAGTCCATGCGGGGGCATGGAAGCCATGGGGAGGGCAGCGGTGAGCAACCCAAGAGGAAGCAAGGGTGCTTCTTGTGTGGAGGGCCACACTGGACGAGGGAGTGTCCACAGAGGGACGTGCTCAACGCCATCATTAGGGCTGGTGAGGAGTCCAGCCACATGGGGAAGGTCAGCCACATGGGGAAGTCCGAGCCCAGGGAGGCAGAGGACGTGGCGTCGATCTCACACAACTTGCGGCAAAGGCAAGGGAGCAATGTTGCCAAGCCTGAGGAGTCCAGCTAGATGGGAGAACCCAAGCCTGAGGAGGCCAAGGACGTGGCACAGGACGTGGGTGACTCATGGCAACAGCAAGGCGAGGATGCAACAGAGACTTGCGAGAGGGATCGAGGCACTTGACGCAAGGCGCCTTGACGAGGGTGTCAAGGGCTTTGATGGGGGAGAGTGTCACGGCACGCGAGTTCGGGGGCCGAAGTCGAGGGCATCGTGGCACGGAACTGTAGCCACAGGCACACAAGAGGTGTGTGCAGCGTCCAGGGGACATGCCAAGCAGCGTCGCAGAGTGCGAGCACGATCACAGGCGCCAGTGGAAGCGCAAGCAGGAGCGTGGACGCGGGCATGCTGGACAAGGGTGTCAGTGTCGCGATACGGGGTTACGATTACGACACTTACGTATACGAGACCAGAGTGAGTGAGCTGCTAGGTGAGTGAATGCATAGAGGGGTTGTGTACTCATGCTCTTGTACACTTCCTTGCGATCTTAATAAATTCTCTTCTTCTCCCAACTTCCTACCTTCGGGTTTACGTGTTGCTAACCTTGCGCCCAATTAAAAGGCCACGCCAAGTGTTGGAGAAAGTTGACTTGGTTCGAGTTGACGAGGTTAATTCTGAGCTAAGTGCCGCACGAGGTCAAGCTAAATTCCGCCTCCAAGACAAGTGCCATCGGAGCTAGTCTCACCCCGTGATAGTCTGCTCTAAACATGTGAAAATGCGGGATACGCGGGTCTTTGTTGGAGACATAAAGTCTTTCGCTAAACTAATTTATAGTGTAAAATGGACTTAAAATACTCCCCCTTCCGTTTTATTTGCTGAAACCATCAACAATTTCTTGCATTGCATCTCGAGACACTATTGTATTACATGTATCGGGTACACGCGCATGGAAGCATGCATTCATTTGTTCCCATAAAACTTGGTTAATTGTGCTTATCATATCAAGGCGTGCTACACGGTTTTGCTCTTTAAAAAAATAAATTTTTTAAGGAAATAAATTAAAAATGTAATTAATATATATTTTTTATATTAATTAATATAAAAATATAATAATTTTAATTAAATAATTAATTAAATAAAAATCAAATTTTATTTTTTTTAATAATAATTACTATTAAAAAATTCTTTAAAGATACAAATTAAAAAATATCAAAAAAATTCAACCTTTAGATTCTTCATTCTTCACACAAAGCAATGTGTTTTTTTATTCCTTTGCAAACAGGAATTTTCATAGAAATATATATGTTGTATTCAAACCGGCTCAACGTTGCTCTAAACGGGGTGTAAACGGGGTGAATACGTCGATAAACGCGTTTTTGTTGGAGACAGAATTACAGAAGAAATTAAAGTATGAAAAATATTTTTTTTTAAATTAAAAGAAAGCTATATTAAAAAATTAAAATATTATTAAATTATGTTCTGCAACTTCAACTTAAAGTTGGTCTCAAAATTACTCCACTTTAAAAGAGAAGAGAATGTTAAATTATTTTCAACAAATATTAAAAATGCTCTTCTTAATTTTTCTTTTTATTATTCCCCGTCTATATTCCTTAAGAATTAAATAAAAAATTTACAAGACAATTATTTTCTTTTCTACAAAATAGGCTTGACAAAATTGAATTCAACCTAAATTTTGACTCAATTATTGTAAGTTGAGTCATCAGTTTAAAATATTAATTTATATATATATATATAATGCTACCATATGCATTAAATAGGGTGGCATTTTATATATATTTAATTAATAAATATTTAATATATAATAATAATATAATAATGTATATTTATGTATTATTTATTATTTATTATATAATTATTATATATAATTAAAATGTTACCCTATGCATTAAATAGGATAATAATTTATTTATTATTTATTATATAATTATTATATACAATTATTAATGAATAGAAGATTCATTTTCTTTCATCTGAAATTATATCATTATGAATCAGATTATTATTTATGTTGGATTTTATGTTTATCTTCAATAATAAAATTATGAGTTATAACTATTGTTGCAATTGTTTTACTACTTAATATAAAGAAAGCAATAAAAAATTAATAATATGGCAATTATAAATTTATTTATTTATCTATCTATATATATATATAAAATGTTGCCCTATGCATTAAATAGGATATGTATTTATATATACATATATAATATATAATATATTATATAAAATCAAATTTAAAGTTAAAAACTTGAAATTAACTAATTAAAATCTAAATATCTAACAATATAAATAAATTAAACGAAAGAAAATGACTTAAATTTAGAATTTTAGATGGTTAAATCAAATTTATCCTGAATTCTCGATTAAAATG